AGCTTCTTCAGCAGATTGTCCCCTATAAAATTATTGAAAAATAAATCCAAAAAACATTTTAGGGCCATTTTTAGACGAAGTGCCCCCTTCACTCGCGCACATTTTATGGCCCCCTAGCTTACCTTCTGGGTATTTGTCCTTCGTGGCTCCTCTAATTTCGCTGATGTCATCGACAGTATAGTGCATAAGTCTTGCCAGCTCCTTACTGATGCAAGTGTCTGGAGTCAGGAGGATTAGATTTATCGCCTACGTTCAGTAATTAGAGGGGTGTCTTGGTACGAGACAACTCATCTCACATCGCTCATAATAATCGCTTCAGGAGTGAACATTTTTATTTAGCCACTATTTTGTATCTGTGAAAGTGTTACCTGCAGCTTTTTCACAATGAATGTGAAAACCACGTGAGGCCACTTCCAGATCTCTCAGTTAGGGAAGTTATACAAAAATGTGTCCAGTCTTTGCGCGCTCCGAGTCAATCGCGGAATGACATTAAAATTTCAGTTTTGCATGGAATAAAAACCAGCTATCAAAGTAAAATCGTTAGCAAAATATGGCAGTGACATCACTTTTTCAAGGTCCTTTAAAAAGTCGAAATTTGTCTCTAATCGTAAAACAGATCTGAAAATACTACCTGATTTTTTTTACACTAAAAAATATGCAGATTCTATAAATTCAAACGCAATCGCAGCAGAATCTGCAAATCGCAAATCTGCTGCAGAATTCGTTCTGGAGGACATTTAGGTCTAGACTTTTTAACCCAGATGAATATACTCAGACAGATTTTATTGTATACGCATTAAAAATTATATTCCAAATACACTGAGAAGTTTTTGTGACGCCGTTATTATGAAGCATAAAAAGATAACGTAGAAAAGTGGAAAATCAAAAGCAAATCAATAGCTCATTGCTTCATATTTGGTGCCATAGACCGAAATCATACCACTCCTCGGTCCAGTTTGGGACTTCTTGGTGATACATCGGATCGCTCTCTTAGGAAATCGAAAAAGGCACGGAGACCGCACAAGAAAAACGATCCAAGTGTCACTGAAATGCGATTGTCCATTGTCAAAACATAAAATATATTTAATCATAAAAATCCAAGATATCATGCGTTAATTCTGTTTTTCCTTCATCCATACTGTAAATTTTGTTTTCAAGTGTAAGTCGAAATATTTGACACGAACGAACGAACTTATTTGGAAGAAAGTATCCAAATAAATGCTCATGCTGCTTCAAGCAAGTTATTTACGATAGCTCAATTGCATGGATACGTATGTAGAACTAAACGGTAATTAGCACAGCAAATCACTTTACATGGGAGACGTAACTATTTCCGTGTCATTATACTTTTTTCGCGATTTAACTTCAGTACTTTGTGTTTAAAAAAGGGGAGTCTTTTACTATTAAGGTGGAAATGGTATATATTTTCAGGGAGAGGAAGCAAATTGGTCTGGGGATGAGCACGGGTAAGTAAATGCACGGACAGGCTTTGCAGGAATTTCGATTTTCTCTCGTGGAACAGTCAGCCATAAATTTAACGTATCCGCGCATGTGATCTTCACTTTTAGTTAAAAATCCAAAAATCCGGCTCTGTTGGACATTAGAAGCATTTCTTCATACTTTAAAACACACCGCAGGTCTCTAGCTCACTCTCAGACCGAGAATTGGCTGCCACAAGGTGCCTCGAGTTGTAGAAAAATTGTAGTTATACAAGTACCCACCTTTTACCTACCTATAACGAAAGTTTCAAATCAATTTCTCCCTTAAAATAAAACGGCATGTTGGACAGCCGCGCTGCATAGCTCCCGGTGCGCGCGCCGCGTAGTGCTCTCCGCGAGCTGGAGATTCGATGTCCCCAAGCAAGTGGTGGAGCTCCGTCAATTCTAATGTTAAAATAGAACATGTATATACCAATTTATTTGGAATTGTATGTTCTTTTGTGTCGAGGGAACAGATTTTCGATTTTTGCATTACAAAAAAGTTATCAGCATAAAACGGGAAAAATGGAGATTTGGAAACGTTTTTTCAATTTTGCAAAAAGCGCCTCATAGCTAGGAGGCAGCAAACTTCTGATTCGGATTCTACGACCCAAAAATTGGGGAGAAGGCACCCGTGGTGTAGTCCTTCACGTTTTTCCAGCAAGAGCTACTTTTCAAACTCTAATGCCTGGACTATTGTCTCATTTTCCCACAGCTAACATTGTTCAAACAGAGACAACTATAAAAAAAATTCCAATCAGCTACTCCTTTTAAAATTTTGTGGGAAAAACTTTCTTCCGTTTCTATGATAGATTTCAGCATAATTTAAGTCTGATTTGGTGCTAATCTTACATAATCTCAAGCACTTATTTACAGCCCAAAATGATTGAAATAAGGCTGAATTTTTTCCCAATGCTTATTGATCAGGAGAAAAAATGAAAACTGAGATGCACACTATCTTTCGTATTTCTTCCTAGGTATGCATCTGCAGTTTGTGGAGTAATTTTAACAAATACTAGCCGTGATTAGCTCGCTTTGCAAGCTGGCACGCCTAGCCTACGAGTGACCCTGGACCCCTGGTTCTTCGCAACTCGCTCCGCGAGCCACCCCCGCTCCACATAATTTATAACTATAATGAGAAGAGAACATTTTCGTCCCTATCTTCTTTTTCACCAAGTTTCACGGAAATCGATGGTCCAGGAGCCGAGACCGCATTATACAGGGTGTCTCACGAAAAAGGAGCCACCTTGAATATCTGCCGAACGTGTTGGAATTTCGAAAAGCGGTAAAAGACGTGTTGGTTTAGGCCTTGTCTCAATGGCGCAACTGTTGAGGGAATTAGGTGCAACTGTAGCGAGTTTGTTGCACCAACCGAAATTCCCTATCTCGACGCGCACGCATGTGTTCCTGGAACTTTTAGGCAGGAATATTTGAACAATATTAATTTTTCTAGGTTAAACGATGTCAATTGAGATAACTGAACTGATAATTATGAACGGAAGGTGAATATTTTGCGTTATGTCGACCAGGTATAAAACAAAAAACAATCATATAATTCAGATATAGATAAAAAGAAAATATATTCGATACAATTTTATTTTCCTGCTGTAGTAATATGCTACAAACGAAAATATAAAATTGATACTGAAATGTATACAAATATTTCTAAATAATAACCGCTCCGAAATAAAACACCCGTAATAAACTCCCGCTTCACGTGTGACCAGCGTTTATCAATTCAAAACACGAAAGTAACCAACTGTTGAGGTTCCAGGTTTCTGACCTTGAAAGTTTCACTTATAAGTGAAACATTTTTGAGACACTTCCTTCCTTCAACAGTTGCGCCGTCGAGACAAGGCCTTATATCGAGGGGGACACCTTTTGGCGTATTCGACATTTTCCCAAACCGCGGGAGGGGCGGGGGGTGCCCCACGCTTAAGTCGAATTTTTCAAATGGCACCCCTACTTTTTTATTTCAGAAATCAATTCTACGGAAAAAAAGAAGCCACCTTGTCCAAACCGAATGTAAATCGGACAATTTTGCAGTGATTGGCAGAGGGTAAAACAATTTTTTAATGCTCTTTTCACAAAATCCCCACGCCCAATGGAATTACCGTATCAAACCTAACTCTCCGCCAAAAAGATTCTTAAACATTGCACTTTCGATTTAAAAAAAAAAAAAAAAAAAAAAAAAAAATGCTGTACTCGAAATCTGGAGCATGCGGAGCCCTTCTCTGCAACATTAAAATTCGTTTTACCCAACATTTCCGAGGGGCGCTCATCGGGAGGGAGTAGTGAGTTTTAGACAAGAATTATTACTCTTTTTTCTGAAGCATAAGAAACCGTGTCCATGAAGAAACAGCTAAGTAGAAGGACGCTATTTTTCCGCGGTGCGTTGTTTTTCTACTTAGCTGTTTCTTCATGGACACGGTTTCTTATGCTTCAGAAAAAAGAATAATAATTCTTGTCTAAAACTCACTACTCCCTCCTGATGAGCGCCCCTCGAAAATGCTGGGTAAAACGAATTTTAATGTTGCAGAGAAGGGCTCCGCGTGCTCCAGATTTCGAGTACAGCAATTTTTTTTTTTTTTTTTTTAAATCGAAAGTGCAATGTTTAAGAATCTTTTTGGCAGAGAGTTAGGTTTGATACGGTAATTCCATTGGGCGTGGGGAATTTGTGAAAAGAGCATTAAAAAATTGTTTCAACCTCTGCCAATCACTGCAAAATTGTCCGATTTACATTCGGTTTGGACAAGGTGGCTTGTTTTTTTTCGTAGATTGATTTCTGAAATAAAAAAGTAGGGGTGCCATTGAAAAATTCGACTTAAGCTTGGGGCACCCCCCGCCCCTCCCGCGGTTTGGGAAAATGTCGAATACGCCAAAAGGTGTCCCCCTCGATATAAACGAACACGTCTTTTACCGTTTTTCGAAAATCCAACACGTTCGGCAGATATTCAAGGTGGCTCCTTTTTCGTGAGACACCCTGTAGAGCGCGGCCGCCACCTTTGATCTTGAAATGTTGAAAATCTGACCAAAAATTCGAGTTTCTCGTCGGAAAATATCAAATGATACAGAGTTTCAAGAAAATTTATCGAACAGGAACCGACGCAGCATTTTAGGCCACGGCCAACATCTTGGATTTTAAAAATCTGACCAAAAATTCGAGTTTCCCGTCAAAAAGTACCCTGATACACCAATTTTCACAAAAATCCGTCGAAAAATACCCCCTGAAACCTGAAATTTCGTCTATAATGCTGTGACGTCACGCGACAGGATTGAACCTGTTCAGCGCGGTGCGCGTGAACAACCTCGTATCCCCAATGCATTGGTATACGGAGGAACAACTTTTCTTTTTTTCTGACTTCAGCTGCATTTTTTTGACTTCACAGAATTTCATAGCCATTGTCTATTTCCTGATTAATCGATCCATTTCCTTATAGATAAATCCAATTTATGATTTATCAATCATTTCCCTGCATAGAAAGCAGATATTTCCTTGCCTTTATGATTAACCTTACTTACACTGTGCATGTTAATGAGAAATCCAATTCTTTCTTGATGATCAGTGATCCGATTGAATCCATACATTGCGTCAGTAGCATCATTTTCAAGGGATGTTCGCAATCTTAGGTCTGAGTTATCTTCTCTAAACAGCAATAAGTTCATCATTAGACACACCAAAAAAAGCATTGCGTGCCGATTAATCAAACACTAACACAGCCCTGCGTTTTTTTGGTCATATAGAGTTGCATGGCATGCCTTCTTTCTATTGTATTTTTTAGTGCTGAATTCGGAAAAAATATCCAAAAAATTCCATCACGTCAGGATTTTTCGCAAATTCAAAATTTGGTTTTTCTTTTTGGGGGGGGGGGAATTTCCGAAAAATTAAGTTTTTCCCTTTCCTCAATTTGACCATTGATTTTGCTCTGTAGTAAGTATACTAAGTATGCAATAACTATTGCACGTCAAAAAGAAGCCTCCACGAATAATAATAGTCCGAATTTCGTCAAATTTTATGAATTTTTAGGTGATTTTTATCCCCCCCCCCCAAAATCGTTTTCCGGTCCAAATTGTTAAAAATACAACTCGAAAAAACCGTAATCCCCCATAATTAACTACGGTTAGTACCCACTAATCACCAGGAAAAGTAAGCACAAGTTTCTAAAATATTGGAAAGAAGGGGGCGGCGCCAAGATGTCATGAGAGCTCCACGCGGCTTGCGGCTTCTTTCCGCCGCGCGCCGCCGTGTCGCAGGTTTCCTCACAAATTCTGTAAAATAACGTCGCTGATTTTGCACCATCAGCTCACCACAGATGTAACAAAACACAAAAATGGTGACTTCTTGCACCCTCTGGACGCCATTTCGCCCAAATTACGGATTTTCGCCACAAAAAAGAACCGAATCTCAGATAAACAACGTACCGCTTTGGCTGCCATTTCAGCTCTAATAAGTCAGGATAAAATCCCACTGAACTCATGATAAAATGCTGAACAAGTTGAAACCTGTTAAAATGCGTCCAGGTATCAAAAATGTGTGTGCAACTCAGATAAGTCGGAACCTGCGACACGGCAGTGCGCGGCGGGAAGAAGGCGCGAGTCGCGTGGAGCTCTCGTGTCATCTTGGCGCCGCCCCCCCCCCTCTTCTCAATAATTTAGAAACTTGTGTTTACTTTTTCAGGTGATTAGTGGGTACTAACTGTATTAAATTGTGGGGGAATAAATTTTTTTCAAGTCGTATACATATGTGACAATTTGGACCGGAAAACGATTTTTGTGGGAAGGAGGGGTAAAAATCACGTAAAAATGCCAAAACTTTAACGAAATTCGAAAAACAATCATTCGTCCTTACTTTTGACGTGCAATGGTTATTGCATACTTATTGTTAGTAGACTTACTACAGAGCAAAATCAATGGTCGAATTGAAAAAAGAGAAAAATTTAATTTTTCGGAAATTCCCCACCTCGAGTTAGGTTAGGTTGAACCCCCCACTAAGAAAAACAAAATTTTGAATTTGCAGAAAATTCTGCCGTGATGGACTTTTTTGGATATTTTTCCCTAATTCAGCACTAAAAAATTCATTAGAATCAATCAAGACATGCCATGCAACTCAACATGACAAAAAACACGCAAGGCTGTTAAATCAATCTCCTTAATCAACAGAATTACTTCTACCTTAAATTTAATCACAGGACCTTTTTAAGTGATGAAAGTGAAGAACTGAATATTGATATCCATCCTCTTCATTCTGATATAGCAGTGAAGTTTCATGGTGAATTCAGGTAACACCGCAAACCGTTAGTTGCAGCAGTCTCTGGAATTTGAACTCGTTATCACCTCTCTGACCGTTAAAATTTTCTTGGATACAAAGTAGTTAAATATTTGGCAGCCTGTTAATACTGGCAAACTTAATATTCGCTTGGGTCTGGGAAATCGTATGAGCAGCCTAGATAATTTAATATCTCAGTGACGGCATCAGCTAACCCTGGAGAAATGATTAGATGAAAAATCAGAAATCTTTGCAAGCTCTGCACTCCCAGGGAATTTTAGCGAAGAATCGTTGTCTCAGGGTCTATGAAAGGACCTAATGCCATAAATTGGAATGGTTGATAATGATAATAGTATACATCAATCCATTTGTCAGATTTCCTTCCTCTGGTTTTCGCGTAGAATCCATATCTGAAGTCAAAACAGTTAACTTAACTTAATATTCGCTTGGGTCTGGGAAATCGTATGAGCAGCCTAGATAATTTAATATCTCAGTGACGGCATCAGCTAACCCTGGAGAAATGATTAGATGAAAAATCAGAAATCTTTGCAAGCTCTGCACTCCCAGGGAATTTTAGCGAAGAATCGTTGTCTCAGGGTCTATGAAAGGACCTAATGCCATAAATTGGAATGGTTGATAATGATAATAGTATACATCAATCCATTTGTCAGATTTCCTTCCTCTGGTTTTCGAGTAGAATCCATATCTGAAGTCAAAACATACCCTTGCGATGATGATGTGGCGCACGACCTGTTAGATTCAGATTTTATTTGCCCCTTATTTTCTCCAAAAATACACGGTTTTTTATGGAGAAATGGGGTTCTTTAATAATTTGGAGCAAACAGGCCGTGCGCCATATCAATTCTATGTAATTTTTTTGCGTAGAATCCATATCTGAAGTCGAAACATACCCTTGCTATTTGGAATTTTTGTGACCTATGGCCCTCCAAAGCCCCAAAATTTTTGAGAGGTCGTGGCCCCCAAAATTTTGGAGCAGCAGGGGTCATATGGCACATCAATAAAAAGGTATTGACCTCTCCTCTCAGGAGACTTTAAGATTTTGAAATGTGAATAATTTGGCCGCTTACAGCATCGAATTGAAAAGTGCCCCGAAAATGCCCCATAACTCCAAAAAATGGGGGCTTAGGGAAAAAACGCAAAGAGTAAAATTTTCTTTATTATATTTTGCACTTTCTATCGAGCTTTACATGAGTTAAATTTGATCGATTGTTAAAGTGGATAAAATCGGTTTTCTGTACTTGGTCTCCTCGTCAGTGGCGCGTCCTGCGCCGTATGTCAATAGCTGATTGTAAGCAGAACCGAACAGAAACCAAAAATTGATTTTCTCCGGAACCAATGGGTCAAATTTAAAAATCTGACGCTCGTTACAGACCTGAGAGTACTACAAATGCTGTAATTTTTACAGATTGACTCTACCTAGTGTTTTTGGTCTTGAAGGGAAAAAAAGAAAAAATAGAGCCTTACTCGGTAAGGAAAACAAGTAAGCTTATTTTGGATACCCTTTATTCAAGCTATCATAACTTTGTCAATTTTTGACAAAATTAGCTTGCAGACCACTCAATCGACGGCAAATTACACCAGCTTAAAGATGAAACCAAGATCATTTTGATAGCTATCTTAGTTTAGAAATTAAAACAGAAACATTGAGTAATTTTGAGTCAATTTTCATATCAGCCTCTAATAAGCCCTAAAATATATAAAAAACGATATATTTCTCCAGGAGCTCTAACAACCTATTTTCATTTTTAGCTAGAATGACTCCATTTTCACTATACTTTTCGAATCCGAAAAGACTTTTCGAGTGATAGAAAAAATGAAAATTTCATATAACTTTTACTCAAACAAACCGAGGCTGCCAAGGAAGTTTTTTGACTGAGAAGCAAGAATGCCTGACCTGTAAGGATGGCTCGCTGTTGTTGATTTCCCTTAAAATAATTCTGTTTAAGGTTTGCTCAATTTGGTGTGGGATATGTTACATTGATTAGGACAGAAATCTTGGCAGATTTTGACTTTAAACAAACAAATGACAATATGTAGCTCCTACCTTAGGGTTTAAATGATTACTTAACATAAAAAAGAATGCAAAATTCAGAGAAGTAAGGAGGGACTAAGCTACAAAAAATAACCCGTATTGGATACAGGTAGAGGTGTCGTCAGCTAAGTTGACGGATGTTTACTTTCAGTTCGCAAGCGCCAACGACGAAATTGGGCCTCTGAACTAAGTGGCGTTCACTACTATCCACACTGAAAACATCAGTCTCACGTAAAGTAGAAAGTGGTATCCTTATCGGGTTCCGCATTCCAATTCCGTATTCCCAATTTCCGTAAAATCAGTCTCATGATCGTATCGTACAAAAACTACTTATCAGTTATAATTTACGATTTTTTGGTGGTTGTGATTTCTGTGTGGCTAAAAATTAAAGTGTTACAAGGTTTGAAAGTATTAAAAAACTTGTCTAGGATTGTGTTCTTGCTTCTGAGAGAGCCAGATGTTTTCATGCGGATAGTAGTGACGTCAAATTGCCTGCAAACCGAAAGTAAACAACCGTCAACTTTGCTGACAACACCTTTAAAGATTGCTAAATGAAAGCAACACTTCCTCAGTTGTCAAGTCCTGTTCTTAAACCACCAAGTTTCAAAATATGTTCATGATTCTTAGGACTAGGCGTCAATTATAAATGTCATTTCTACAACTGGCAAGTCAAAATTTGCTAAGACTTTTGACCGAGTTATCGCAGTAAATTGGGCATGGTTTGAAAACAGCTGTGCTGCGAGTCACGTCACTTTCAAAATAAATAATCCGAAACCGTGATGCAGCACACCTTAAAAGAAGAAAAACCAGATAAAAGTATGACTCCTGCAAGATCTTCAGAAACTGATTACATAGGGGGTGTGACGAGAAAAAAAAAATTTGGAAAATTTACCTCAGTTTGAAGGCAAGCTGGTTTTGTGAAGTGTCTGGTTTGTACTTTCCAGTATTTTGCAAAACCATCTTTGAATTCACCTGAAATGTCAGCCTGCGAACGATAAAGTCACAACATCCTGAAAGTCGTGGTACATATCAATATCAAATGATTCAAGTAGGATATCGTGAACTGCGGATGAGAGATGCAGACATAGAATAAAATGAAGGTGCAGTGCAGAGGTTAATGAACAGACTGCTTCTTTCCGCGCCAAAAAAACCCTCAACATGCGGCCTAAGCCCTTAACCACGTTGCAATAGGTAGCTGAAAATAAGCTGAAAGTTGATTGTTGATCCCCGAAGTCACCGGTGATCAACAGCAGGGACCAGTTCTCGTCTCGTCTAGAGTACCTGTAAACCTGTATAGCGAGAGTATGGAGTTATGGACAGATCGCTTCATGGAGGGCTTAGGGCCCAAAAGTGCAGCCACCCTTCTAACCAACTTCTAACGCACAAAATTTCACTGCCAGTCTGCAGATTCCAATTCTAACCAAGATGGCCAAGAATGTACAGAAATGAGCGTTCTTCCGCAAAATTGAGTACATTTATGCAAAAACTTAGTTAAACACGTGCTTAATAAAGGACGGTTCGTAACAATAGTATCAGTAAATCGCTCTGGATAATTGAAATTCATAGGTTGGCTGCCCTTTTGGGCCCTAACTTTATTCGCGGAGGCATCGGTGAAGGCCTGATGGACTTTCGGTTTCAGATCTGTCGGTACTCTCCCTATACAGGTAGAGTACCTATATTAGGAGAGTATGGCCACTGGGTCCCATGGAGAGGCTTAGGACCCATAAATGGCGGTGCTTTGTTTTGGTTTTTGAGGATGGGAGGGGGGTCATTGCCAACTTTTGACGGTTATCACCAACCGCACTTGCTGCCAACCTTACTACATCTAAGATAATTTTTCTCAAAAATTGCACACGATTAGCCTTAAAAATATGTAAAAAAGTCGCAATAGTGCATTTGGGTAAAGTTCTCGTTACGATAAGCAAAGACAACTACATTTTGAATCATTTTGCATTACATTAACTTTATGGCGTCCGCCATTTTTGGGTCCTAAGGGCTCCATTCAGCCTAAGATTGCTGAGCCAATCAGAGGTGGTAACTCCAGTGGCCATACTCTCTCTAAATATAGGTACTCTAGTCTCGTCCCTGTCAACAGCGATAGACCCTCGTATTCGATACATCAAACGGGTGAGATTGTATCGATATCGATTGGTTCAAAACATAAACATAGCCTCAAAAGCTTTTTTTTTTTTTTTTTTTTTTTTTTTTTTTGAGAGTTTAGTGGCTTCTATTCCTTTAGGAATCTACAGCCATCTATAGGCACTATTTATTGTCCGAAGACATCAGGGAGTTTGGTAGACATCCATGCTCGGGCTTACAAATTTTCACGGATTAAGGCCGAGCGAATTCTGCTTACAGATCCACTCGTCATTTCCATGAAAATTTGTCGCCACCACCGGGATTCGAACCCGGGACCTATTGACGTAGAGTCACCACTAGGCCAACCTGGCCGGCTAGCCTCAAAAGTAAGTTCAGAAATCTGAGAGAACGGATCTTTTGAAACCAGCACTAGGAGTACTATAGTGTACTATAGAGTACTATAGTACTATAGAGTACTATAGAGTACTATAGAGTACTATAGAGTACTATAGAGTCGCAAAGTACTGGAGCGCCGATGAAGCCACTTTTGGAGGCTGTTTTGTATAGAACGCCGTTAGTGTCAAAACCCTTTTCTTGCGCGCGCGGAATTTTTTCTGGCGCGCGGAAACAAAAAACCCGTTTTCGATGAAAATCTCTGAATTTCCGGATTCCGCGCCGGTTTTCGATATATTTGCGCCGTTTGTGTCAAAACTATTTTTTCCGGCGCGGCGCTCCAAATCTGTTCCGCGCGCGGAATTTTCGATGTATCGATTCCTGCTCGCCGCCGGCGCGGCGCTCCGAAATCTGTTCCGCGCGCAGAATTTTCGATATATCGATTCCTGCTCGCCGACTGTTTTTTCCGGCGCTGCACCAGAAA